TTGAAAACCCACTTCATCCTAACCAGATCTCATCTCCAGGCTGTTGAGAACCAACTTCATCCTAACCAGATCTCATCTCCAGGCTGTTGAAAACCCATTTCGATCCTATTAGAAGGTCGACGCCCTTGTTCTCTACCCGGTGCAAGGACTCGCATGTGCACGGGCCGGGCGAGGCCTCAGTGCTACTCGGTCCCCAAAAGAACGTCGAGCGCCACGCGCGCGCGGCAACGGCGAGAGGACCTTTGTTCGCTCCCGTGCCTGCAGACCCAGTGCGTTCGTCCCCCGTTCGCCCCCCCTTACATTGGGCCTCAGGGGGTCTGAACCCGACGACGACCCACGCCCTACGACACACGACCGACCCTTCGCCGCCCAGGACGGGTCTGTGTCCGGAGGAGCCCTACTTCGCCGCCGTGGCGGTGCGCTTCGCGCGCCTGGGACGGCGAGACTGGCGCAGAACCGGCTTGAGCGCCACGTTCACCACGAGTCGCGCCGGCTAACAGCGCGCGAGTCAGTAGGGGGAACGGAAGATACAAAGAGACCGAAGATGGAGCGGAAGAGGGAGGGGGATGTCTTTGTGGGTTCCTGTTTGGATCCCCGGTCGCCATCCGCGGTTCCGGTCTGCTGCATCCTATCGGACAGATGTGGACGTTCTGCGTGCCAAGTCGCTCACTTCTGCGCAGCGAAGTGGGTCCGTCGATCTCACAACGATCAGAAGTTGCGTGAGGGAAATACCGTTTTTTGATCTTCCCAGGCAACGCAGACTAAGCAGCTGGACAGAATGATTACTGACAGCCATGTAAAAGGTCCGGATGAACAGAAGCAATGACAGTACCACAGAAACGACCAGCGTGACCATGATGATGACCATGTCACCACTTGGGCTGTCAGTTTCCATTGCCAGTCACTTGGACAACTCTCCTGATGTCATGAAAGCGAAGAAGAAGGTGTTGGCTAGGGCCGCTGGAGTGATGGACATCTATGTCCAGATTGTATCCCTTGTTCCTGGGAATGGTTGTTTTTTGTGGGCTTTCGGAAACAGTGAGACTACGATTGCAGGAGGCAGTGATGATCAACTACATCATCGAATTTTCCCGACATTTGGGGACTGAGGTGATTATCCAAGCAGCTGAGTCTAGCAAGATGTCTCTGGAAACAATTGCAGTGGAGCAGATGACGACAATCCTTGCAGATGAAATGCAGCTTTTCCCTTCACTTTCATCTCTTACGGCCACAGTTGTCAGCAAGACAACGGCTTTGATCATCACGGTGCCATATGCAACTAACACTACGACTTCAACAGCTACAACCTCCACCACTACCATGACCACCGGCACAGCAACAAACACCACCACGTCAACCGCAGAAACCACTACCACAAGCATGACGACTGAGACTCTTACAACAACCAACACGGTTGTGACAAACACCACTACGTCTACAACAGACACCACCAAGACAGAGGTTCACAGTTCCCTGAATACCACGTCAACAGCCGCCACCACCACCACCATCACTACAGCGTTTTTGATGACCGCAAGCATAAGGGCTTTTCGTATATAGAAGCAACATGAAGCAACCATCACGCTTGTGACGTCACACCACCACGTCTGCCACGGACACATCTGTCCGACCATGAAGAGCAAGAACAGTATTGAAACCTTCAGGTGGCCATTCAATTAGCCCTTGCAGTAGAGAGAAGAAATGCAGCTGTCACCATTTCCATCCATTTCCCCCCGACGTTAGTCTTGTTGCATCACCGAGCTCAGAAGTGTGGTCAGACTATGATGATTACAACGTATCCCACCAAACCTGAGCCTCGACGTCAGCGCGGAGAAACTCACGCGGATGTCCATCCGCCTGTTTTGCGCGGCAGCGAGTGAACCGAGCAGCGAGCGAGGACGACACAGAGACTGCGAAGCCATGTCATGATGTCAAGGCAATCGTCAGTGGGCTGAGACAGCTGTCTCATCACAATCGCGGATGCTCCCTACAGACGGTCAGAGAAAAGAGAATAAAACAATCCCTTGTGTGTGTTTGACGTCTCCGTCTCTTTCACATTGTCAGAGACAGCATTCAATTTGTTGCTGTATTGCATTGCTCTTGCTAAAGTTAGATACGACTGGTGTGATTGCTTCTGATCGTAAGCCAGACGAGTGTGGGAAGTTTCTTACATGACTCATGACCCCAACAGAAAACCCAGGATAACAAGCATTTGAAGAAGTGAACACACAAAAAGTGTGATTACTTGGTGATGGCTGAAACGTTTTGTGTGCAGTATACAAACGTAGAGAAGAAGCTTCTTTAGTCTTGAGTCTTGAGCTTGTTGACTGCCCCAGCCGATAGAAGCCTCTTCATGTTATGGGCACTTGGTGGAAGTTCAACTACACCAATGATGAGCATTGCTTTTGAAGGTGTACAGTAAGCATTTGTCACAAGCAGCGTTTTTCTGCTGACGTATGACAGGGTGAGTGTGGCACAGCATTTTTCTGCGCTGTCGGTCCTGGCACAATGCACAGCAACTTTAGCCATGGAAAACAGCCAAAGTAATCCGAGCACATCCTAGTAACAAGAAGCGACCTAGTAACATCTAGGAACAAAGTGCATCGCTACTAGTAACAAGGGCATTACTACTAGGAACAACAAGCTACTAGTGACCGATTTCTTACATTTCACCAGAGACGAGAGGCAACTTGACCATCCCAAGGGACTTCACCATCACATGCAGAGACACGCGTCAGACACGGGTGAGACACGGGCGGCCCGACTTTTTCCTGCTGAAAACATGGACGCTGCAATGAATGCAGTGTTTGGCGTGGTGGGCAGGCTGTGTCAAAACGAAAAGCAATCATAGATTTTATCATAGTGATCTAGCGGTGGACCTGAGTAGCATACATACATATATCCTCTTCTGTGGTGACTTGAAATCCTGCTATCTTTTTTCTTTTCCATGATGGTTCCTCCTCAATCCATGTGGGTCAAGCAATCCATACCGGCGCTACATCTCGCCCGTTCTGTTCCAATGGCCACAACACCGACGACGTGGACATTAGGAGCCATACTTGAAGCCACCGGAGGCGCTTTTGCTTCATCCGACCGCACCACTGGAGGCTCTTAATGCGAGAAGCCTTGGGGGAAGACGTGCAGCTCATCACTGAGCTGGGTGCCGCGGGCTACATTAGCAAAGTCAGACGCTGAGCCGAACATCTTCTTTTCATGAATGAAGAAACGGCTCCTTTTGTTTCTCTGCAAATCGGTTCCTTTTGTTTGTTGGGAATTGAGACATATGAAACACCTCTTGGGGGTTTGATAAACGGCTCCAGTCAACCCATGAAAAACCTCTCACTTGGTCTCAAAGAAACTGCAGTGAAGCAGAAGTGGAACATGGCTTCGGGATCGATTATGAATTCTGGAAGATTTACTGAGTGATCAGTGAGGTTTGAGGAGTCTCAAGGAACCTTTTTGGTGTGTTGTGATTCCCTCCCCAAGTCAGCACCAGTCAGAAATTGAAAAATGCCCAGGCGTGCAGGTGCAGCATGGTGCAGCACGCCTGGGCATTTTTCAGCACCAGTCAGAAGGCACCAGGTGCCTTTCTTCTACTCCCTTTGCAGTCTGAGGTGGCCTTGCCACCCTTGGGGGATCTGATGTTTGAGGGTGAGGAATGTGCCACGGAGGAGGTGCGGTTTTCGTCGTCGTTTTCCGGCCGCCGATCGAAGGGTTGGCGACTGGCACGGCAACGACCCGCCTCACCGAACAGGGGCAGAAGACGACTTCACGAAATGTGAGGTGCTTGGTCCAGGAGATTCAGGTTCGTTGGTGAAATGAATGGTCGGCAGATCATCATAGATAGGTGACAAGATAAAAACTCAAACAGGTTTGTCTCAAAATGAGGGACCAAACAAGATCTTTGGGCTGGTTGACACATCAAACATTTTCTAACGACCCTGGAACAAAAATACAACACTGGTACTATAGATTTCCCTGGTTTGTTATTATGTTCTTCCAGGCAATCAAACACATTCACGAATGGGTCATATCGGTCATATATCGCTGGCCTGAGATTGTTCTGCTTGCTTTGCGTTCAGAGTGCCTTGAGTCTTTGCTTCGATGCCCAATGAATATTTGACAATATTTGAACAAGCTGACTTTTCGATGGATGTAAATGATGTAAGCATCCGAAGAAGAGACATTTGCGGCCCATGTCTTTTGGGTGTTTTTGGTTGCAGTGGTTCTTCAGCTAGTCTTGCCGAGCTGCGGCAAGACTCGAACTGTTGTGAAAGAGCTCATTATGCCCCATGATGACTGTTTTCGTGGTTTTCACCTTGTTGATCGTGGTTTTCACCTTGTCATCACAGCTCCCGGATCCGATGTCCTGATGTTGGGATCCTGGAAATCGAGAGGTTTTCCCAAAAACCGAAACTGGAAAACGCTGGGCTGAACAGAAACTCCAGGCCTGGATGTCATGTCCTATGGATTTCAGCCGAGTGAATATAAACGCCAGGAATCCAGCATTTCTCCGTGGGGAAAGAGGCGGCCCATCCACCTGTGAGGCGGCGCAAACAGCAGCTTTGAGAATCTGCCTCGAGGCCTTTGCCAGTGCCAGTGACATTGCACGGATTCCCGGAGGTTCTTTTCAGCTGCTTTAAGCATTGTGCAACTGCTTGAGCCTGCTTTAAGCGGTCACCGTTCCATGAAGTCCCATGTCCTTCCGAGGCCCGCGACGGGCTCGGGTCGCCCGGCGGTCCAAGCCAACGGCGGTGCCCCAAGGCGCCCTCGGAGCCGCCGCCGAAGTTTCGAGCGGGGGCACTTAGATCATCTTAGATCTTGTCTGCAAGACTAGTAGCGTTTCTTGTTACTAGGTAGTTAGCCATGCTACCAGTAATGCCCTTTTGTTACTAGTGCCCTTGAGGAGCGCACCCAGCTTCTTAGCTCCCTTCGAGTCGCGATGCAGCTTGTTACTAGTAGGCTTCTTGTTAGGCGTTTAGAGAGGCCTTTTGGAGAGGCCTTTTTGGTCGGTGTTCACATGTTTTCAAGGGAGTTGGGTCGGGGAAGAAGACCTCGGGGTTTCGCGTTTTCGCGTCCGTCAAGCAAAGCTTGGCTGTTCTGAGGACCAGAGTGGAGGCTTGGTTCACAATGTTCACATTGGCTTGAATTTTGTAGTTTTGTGTGCTGTATGAAGAAAGCTTCCTCATGCGTCCTCCTTTGTTTTGGAGGGTTCTGTTGGCACTGTAATCTTTAGGCTGGGGAGAGGACTATGAGGATGTCGTGGTCGAAGTGAAGGACAGATGGGTGTGAGTCTCCCTTAAAGAAAAGACACGAAAGAATGCCTGATTGAAGTGAACATAGACCATACACACTGATTTTTGGGGAAGGCATTGACGATATGACATTTGATGATGTCACAAAGATCTTGCAAGTTTTGATCTTGGGTTTGTCATGGTTTGTGTGTACAATCAAAATATTTTGGGTTTGAGTTTGATTACAGATGATTACAGTAACATGCAGGCATCCCTTGCTGCCTTGCTTCTTGTTTTTCTTGACTCACCACCACGTCCGCAGCAAGATCATTTTCCAGTTCTGTCGTTTTATGATGTTCTTTGATTGTTTGATCAAACAAGGCCAACACGTGCCTTCCTAAACTATCCGCCAAACTCCAGTTGAAATCACCTGGCAAATGCACCCAAAAGGCATGAAATCGTCCAGGACCTGATCAAAGCTTCTGGAGACTTCTGGATACTTCTGGATACTTTCCACCGTTTCACCATGTTTCACCCGCCCGTTTTGCTTTTGGACCACCTTTCTGCACTTCCACCGTTTCGTCCGCTTGGAGCCACGTGGGCTTCCGTGGGGCCGGTCTTCCGCTTACAGGAGCCCACGCCGAAGCGGGTGGCGAAGCAGGACGCCGAGCCCATGCCGGTGGGACGCGTGGGACGCCTGCACCTCCCGAGGCCCGACGCCCCGAACAATCGACCAAGGCGGACTTCGGAGTGATGCTGGAGGGGGGTGGTTCCTTCTGCATTGTGGGAGGTTCGGTGGGAGGTGAGGTTAGATGAGTTAGATGGGTTGGCCCAAAGCCGAAGCAAGCTTCCGAAGGTGCGAGTTGATGCCAGAGCCTTTTTCTTGCGAGGCCAAAGGTGAAAGTGAAAGCAATGCCCAAGCCCAATGAACAAGTGGCAGCGGTTCCTTCCTCAGGGGGCTGGGCTAGTTTTTGGTGACTTCCAAACGAATCCAAATTATGGATTCAGAATCGTGTTTTTCACTGTGCCTAGGAAGACAGCAAAACGTTCGGCTCTGAGACTCTGATATTGCTTTTACATGTCTAGAGTCTATAATATATATATATATATATAATATACTGTTAATAGACATCCCTTTGGGGGAGTTATGCTCACTTGGGAGTGAACACCGCTGAGTCAGCTGCACACCGCTTTGAGCCGGATGATTGGCCGATCCGTGATGAAGGCGGACCGCACGGGTTGCTCCTCGGCCGCCGCGGGTCGCACCGAGCGGCCTCGGGTCGCCCAGCTGAAGAAGAACCACCGATCTGGCCGAGGGGCATCGAAGATCGTTGGGGCATGAATCCTCTTCGGCCAGCTTTTGAAACATCCGGTTACGACTCGCGACCGAACAAAAAGATAAGCACACAATCACACACATGGAAAGCAACCAGCACAATGAAGATCCCCAGGTAAGTGACCTTTCTACATATAACAATCCATTCATGAGTTGTAATCCAGAAGTCGTTCTCCAGCCACGTGATTCGTGGCAACCAAGACAAGACACAAACTAAAACACAACGCAACACAACACAAACTTCATGGTGGTATTGTGCAATCTTTGACATCGTCAGCATTCGTAGTGAAAGCCTTGCAACTGAAAGCAGCCGTGCCCTTAAGTACTGTTTCCGTGTTCAACAGTTCACCAATCCAGGTAGCTTTACAAGATCTTGCAAGTAACTCTGGCAGCTGTGTACAGGCACAGTGCGCGTGCTCAACGCAAATCACGTTTGAAGGTATAGACTACATCGATAAAGGCATTGGACGTGCCAAATTTAGCCAATTGTGCAAATTGTTGTATTGCAGACCATCGCCATGCATCCAGTGGCCATTGCAGAACTCAATCATTGCATGGCATAGTCGGTCTGTTCCATCAGGCAAGGCAAAGGCAGAGAGAGAGAGAGAGAGACTGTAATGTCAACAGAATGCACACAGAGTGATAGAAATTAAATATGTTAGAAAGGAAGAACCATAAGAAGTGGCAACGGGTTGCAACCTTGTGCAGGAGCCGCCAATGTTCGACTCAATGCCTAGTCAGGGTGGGTGTCTTGCAATCAGCTTCTGATTGTTTTCATGAAGGGTAGCCTGGCACCACACTTGATACACCTCTCATATATTCTTGGTGCCTCTCCACCTTTCGTGTTTCCCTGTCTCAAGTTTCGACCCTCTCGGGACCCTCTCGCCGGCTGGGAGACTGCGATGGGTCTCGCGGCGATGTGCCGGTCCAGTTTGTGGTTCCTTTTGTGCTTTCTGCCGCATCCGGTCGCTACTCAGCGGGTTTTTGGCCTTTTGGAGGCTGATCTCGGGTATGTGATCTATCCAGTCCCCGAAGGAGAGGGCGGGAAAAGAAGCACACAGCCTTCCGGTGCTCTTCAGCCCCGAACTCGCAGGGCACCATGGCTTGTGTTCGATTGCTCTTTATGTTCGATTCCTGGAACTGTTGGAACCATTTTGGATCCATCATGATCCATCATGATCCATCTCATTTTGGCTGTTTGGATGGAAGCTTTCGCGCCATGCGTGCTCTTGACACATCCACGGCCTCGCGTGCGAAGAGCGCGCGCGTGAGGATACCAAGCGTCCTTGACGATGTATCCTCTTGGAGGCCCGTTCTGCCAGTCAGAGAAAGTTTTGCCAAACAGCATCAAGAAGTGCCAACACTTAATTTGTGGTCTTTAGATGTCATTAGACATTTTTTGACCCTCTGACTGTGTGCATCCGTGCAAGAGGAGTCCATTGGAGACTTCTGAGTATTTTTGACTTTGGACTCGTGCAAGTGCTGATTCCACGGACTGGTTTGAAGCACGCGGGCATGCACCCCCACCATGCAGTTCTCGTGCCAGGACAGTGCATCATCGGCCTTACTGCTGCGACAAAGAAGGCTTGGCTTGCATTGTTTGGCAATACGTACAGTATATTTTTACTCAGACGATATTGTACTCTCATTTTTACTCCATACGTTCCGTACGGATTTCGATGCCATGTCTGACAGGATGCTGAAAATTCAGCTGCCGACTTTGCTATGCAGTGGCTACAGGCACCACGGAGGGGCATTTTCTCGGCATAGGTGTCAAAAAACATATTTATCGAAGCAAAAAATAAATATTTACTGAATCGATAAAACATATTCATTGTGCGATGAAATCCCTTGGAATTCCCAGTCGTGTAGGTGGCCGGTCCTCTGGTCCGCTGGTCCCCTGGTCCTCTGGTCCCCTGGTCCGCTGGTCCTCTGGTCCGCTGGTCCTGGTCCGCTGGTCCCCTGCAGTCCGCTGGTCCACTGGTCCGCTAGTCCCTTGGTCCTCTGGTCCTTCGTCTTTCTTTCTTTCTTTCTTTCTTTTTCGCAGCTGTTCTCCTT